ATATATATATATATATATATATATAAATGACACCAAATAAAAAGTTTATGTAGTTTTCTATTTTTATTTTTATCTCTTTTGTACATTATTTTTTATTATTAATATATAATAAATTACATAAATTAATAAAAATATAGAAGTCGTATAAAAATAATATTTTGAGGATAGCAAAATGAAAGCTTAAAAAACATAAAATACAATAAATAAAATTTAAAGAATGAATAAAAAGAGACCTATTTGATGTTTTAGAAAAGAATTTCAGTTTGATTTTGAGATTATATTGACAAAATATAAGTCTATTCCACCTTATTCCACCATGTTCCATGGGGTAAGGGTAGAACAGGTTTGTTCCACTTTATTCTATTATATTTTTGTTTGTTCCAAACCAAAAAAAATGATTAATGTTATAGATTTTTCAATTATAGATTTTTGACATATAATGATAAAAATAAATAACAAAGCCTATAAACTAAAAATCAAATGTTTAAGATATTATTCAATAAAATTAATATCAAAACATTTGGAAAACATAATTAATCTCATAAACATATATATAAGAAAAAAATTGGGGACTTTGGAGGGATTGAGACAGTGGATTGTTTCTATATAAAGGCTAAAGCTTTCTATTGTATATCTGCACATTTTGAATGAGCTCTCTCCAACAGAGAAGTGGTTTTCGAGTTTGTTAAAAAGGTAAACCGTTAAGAATCAAGAGATCTATATGGCTGTAACCGGAAAGTTGATCATGTACGTAGACATCAATTCACGTGGAGACTTGTTCCATGATATGCTTAGGCATAAACCACACGACCTCGCTTCCATTTCACCTGATAAAGCTCATGGTTGCGACGTCGATGGTGAAGCAGGAGCTGTTGGCTCCGTTCTTTGCTGGAACTATACCCATGGTACGTACGCAACCCTCATTCGTTGTTCAACCATAATTTCTTCTATAAGTTTTGCGTAGGTTTTGAGTCATCTCAGATCAACTAAATTGTAGTTAATTATATAATGAACAAGAAGTAATTTATTTCGTTTTGCTTGGAAAAAAGAAAACTACAAAGGTGATAATTGAAGACATTGACGAGAAAAAGCACAAGATCGTGTTCAACGCAATTGGAGGAGATCTTCTGGGAGACTTGTACAAGTCCTTCAAGCTCGTATTTCATGTTGAACCAAAGGATAATGGAGAGCTGGCTATTTGGACCTTTGAGTTTGAGAAGTTGAATATAAGTGTTCCTTATCCAACTACCTTCATGGACTATAAATATAATTATATGTTGGGTACGTGTTATTAGGGATATGGATGCCCATAACATTAAGTTAATAGATGATCTGCAAGTTCAAGCTCCGCGCGCATTTTGCCGATTAAATAAGATGAATGGATATATAATATAAGCAAATTTAAGAATAAACGAGACTAGAGATAGCTAGATATGGCTACTTAATTATGCTTATTGCTTAATTGCTCCTCCCATGAATATGTATGTATTAGTGTATGTTTCTATAAATTTACAAAGAATAAAACCTTATTCCAAGTCAAACTAATTAAAATATGAATCAATTCACAAGTTGGTTTTAATTTTGATAAGATTTAAAGAAAATCCTTGTTCCCGTTTACTAATCAAATTAAATCATTATTTACAAGGAAAAACATGATCATAAGGGTGTGTTTGGTGTCAAGACAGGATAAGACAAGACTGGACTGGACATGACATGATAGGATAGAACAATTGTTCAACCTTTGGTAAGATAGAACTGGACAAAACAGAACAAGTAAAAAATGATAAATTTACCCTTGATGAGTTGTTTATTTTAATTAATTCATGTAATTTATTAAATTATAATAGAATAACTATTTTTTAAAACAAAATATGTCATTTGAAGTTTTCGTCAAAATAATTAAAATGACACCAAATAAAAAGTTTATGTAGTTTTCTATTTTTATTTTTATCTCTTTTGTACATTATTTTTTATTATTAATATATAATAAATTATATAAATTAATAAAAATATACAAACCGTATAAAAATAATATTTTGAGGACAGTAAAATGAAAATTTAAGAACATAAAATACAATAAATAAAATTTAAAAAATAAATAAAATGTAAATAAGAGACCTATTTGATGTTTTAAAAGAGAATTAAGTTTTATTTTGAGATTATATTGGTAAAAATATAAGTATGTTCCACCCTGTTCCATGGGGTAGGGGTGGAACAAGTCTGTTCCATTTTGTTCCACTTTGTTACTGTCTGTTCCACATAAAATTCATGTCAAACATGAAACAATGATCCATGTCCTGTCTCTGTCGAGTGTACCAAATGCACCATATGTGCTGAGTGTCTCAATCATAAGATAGCATGGTGTCCCAACTATATTATGCACTTGCGTTTAACAAAAAGATTCATGCATATCATGTAAAAATGTTCATAAACAGTATATATCAAAGATGTATCACGAAAATCGTACTAACATAAATGCATGAATGCCAAAAAGTCATAATATTACATGTATCCTAGTTAGCACAAAAGTCATAAAAACTCACCTTGGTTGCTAATGTTTAGTACGTAGTCTCCTGTACAAAAAAGTTCAATCTTACAAAGCTTGTTTAGTACGTATAAAAGATTAGTGGTGGTCAAAAGAATTCAAGGGTTGATACACATTTTTTCCACTTTTGAACATAGTCTATGTACTCATCAATCTTATAAAGCTTGTTTAGTACGTACATGAATGATATATATATATATATATATATATATATTACAGATAACACATGTACATAAACGACTTTTTTTAATTTTACTGATAAATAAACAATATGAAAAGTGGTGAGATATCACAAGCTTAAGGAGTTAATTGATGGATTTAAAGAGTGGATTCACATCTCTACCAATAATGTGTGAAATGTTTGTGTGCCTTGGGACTTGTACATCTCTACCGCAGTGCATGTAATGTCTGTCCTCATAGTCATAGGTAAGTACCATGTGGACATCATTCATAGCATATACTTGATCCATACCTTATCTTAGAGATTTTTGTGTATATTTTTTAATAAATTTAATTGCAAAAGAATGAATATTTATATATAATATATATCTATAAGAAATGCGCTTCATTATTGTATTTGATACATTAAAATATGTACAAGTCATTTGCTATCGAAAATGGAACATGAGTCCCTACTTACAATTAGGGATGTCCAAATCTAGTTAAGAGGGGGAGAAGGGGGGGCTGGGGAGGGGAAACGTGAGACGCTATTTTTTTTCTTTTTGATTTGATGGATGAAGTGGTGATATATAAATTAAATGAGGTATTAATGAATCGTAGGGGTGAATTGAAGTAATTGAAAACAAACATGTTGAAATCTGATATCCAACATCTTGATGGGAAGCTGAACAAGTAAGTTTTGTTGTTATATTGGATAAGTAATTAAAGGTATGTTTATTAGCAGCTTAATTAATGTATTTAATGGAAATCGCAACTTATTCAGTCCATGTGGATGGATTATTTGTTGTATATTTGGTTCTAAATCAGGAAATCATGGGGGTATATTAGTTCGATAACTTAACAACGATGATAATATGAGCTAATATTATCCTAAGGACAATAAATGAAGTACGTCATAATTTGTTTGTATTCCTAGTAGAAACAAGTTTCAACTTTTAGTATTATATTAATGAAATAGTTAAATATGGTAGTATTTGATCATCCAACTCATTTTGTGGGTAATTTCAAGTTGTTTGAAAGAATTCATCTGATGAGAATGTATATAAAAATCTGAATTAAATAGATTGATCAATGGAAGTCAACAATGAGAACGTATCTTGTGAAGCAACATGATCTTAAAGAATGGAACTCAATTGGTGGACAAAAAGTGGAGATTAGCATATTAATAAGTAAGAGTTGGTAGAAGAAATATACAGATCGCATGAAACCATATATAAGATGATGAAATCCTTCATCGACTTTCTCAAATTGTCGGTTCTTTTTCTTTTTGGATTGAAGATGTAATCCAAAATACATCTTCAATCCTTCATCGGTAGCAAGATTGAAGATGTATTTTGGATTCTTTTTCTTCGATAATTGATAACTTAATGGTCATGTTATGTTTCTTAATTATATGTACGGTTATATGATGAAGTTATCTTGGATGTTAGTGTTTTTGTGGCAATCATATATTTTTTTAGGCATGATATGGGATTTTAGTCTTTTGAAGTGCTAGTCATTAGCCATACCAGTGATTTGGAGGAGATCTCTTATTGGATTTTCTGTTATTTAAATCGCGTATCTCCGTCACTTGTAGTGTTTCATATGCTCTTGCGATGCGTACCTGATACAGAGAAATCTTTGCCGCAGCGGAAAATAAAGAAATGGTTAATCTATTCAAGATAATTAAAGTATATGACAGGCAACTTTAACTTCAAGTTTCCTATCTTGACATAATTCAAAGCCATCTGGTTTAAACCTTGATCTTTATGTTTGCCTTATATCTGAGGGTGTCTCATGAGGTGGTGCTGACAGACGAGGCCCTAGCTCCCATAATTTTTAATGTTTTTCTTATAAATATTAAAATTAAATTACAAAACAAAACATTCATTCATATATATATATATATATATATATATATGGAGGTTCAAACGAGAACTCCTTTATTTTACGAGAATGCTACAACACCCTTATCACATGTGATAATACACATGAGGGAACCTGGTGGTGTGCGGACGACGTATTATACGACTTAGGTCGCGCCAAATGTCATTTGCGTCTATGATTTAGCATCACATCTGATGGTCTTGATGGATTATAATATCACATCAAAAACACCCTTAGTATATGTGATAATACATATGCGAGGGGGTTTAGTGGTGTAAGAACGACTTGGCCCGCAACCAAGATCACGCCAAAAGTCGTTTGCGTCTCTGATTTAGTATCACATATGTATCATATGTGATGAAATAATAATATCACATGTGATTATTTATATATATATGTAATGTGTTGTAGTTGATTTGGTTAAAGAAATTAATTGTTGGGTAGAGAGAGTATGTTTATATATATATATATATGTGTGTGTGTGTGTGTGTGTGTGTGTGTGTGTTGTAGTTGAGTTGGTTAAAGAAATTAGTTGTTGGGGTATATAACTAATACAACTCAATTAATTGAGATATTTATAAAAATGATAAGAATTCATTTATTATGATTTGAATATTTATGGAATATAACCAGAGTTCATTAATTATGATCAATATTTTATATTGGAAAACAATCAAAACTTTTATGAAATCACATATTAATCAAATTAAATGGACAGTTGAAATTAAATTGTATTAGTTATACAAATGTAAAAGGATTGCATAATAATTCAACCACCCCCCTCTATAGATAATGTGTTGTAGTTGAGTTGGTTAAAGAAATTAATTGTTGGGTTGAGAGTATGTCTTACCTGTCTAGGTTTAAATCTTATTTGTTGTTTTTTTATGGTTTATAAGTTAGGGTTTTTTTAGACCACATTAATTTAATCATATGAATTGATTCTATAATTAAATCTATCGTTCTTTATTGCTTAATAATTCCTTTTCATCCAGTTTATTCTTTTCAATGCTAAAACTTTTGATATTTTATTTTACGATCAACTACGACTTAAAAGATATTAAATGTCTTGCCTTTAGATTCGATCTAAAGCAAGTTTCTGAAAAATCTTGATTATGAAAGCATAATAGATGATTCATCTTCTAAAAATGTTAGAAAATCTATGGGGTTGTTTGTTTACCTCTTAACAGTTCCATTAAGATGTCACATATGAATCATTAAGAGGTGAATCTTGTTTAGTAAAAAAAAAAGTCTGACTCTTAATGGTTCTAAAACCCATATTTTGTATCATGGGTCTCCCTAAAAACCAGCAGGTAGTTCTGATTTTGGCGTCGATTTAAGTTTTGTTTTAAAGTACCGTTAGAGGGCATCAAGTCAAGGAGGGGGAGGGGCCGAAGAACAACGGAGAATAAGAACCACTCATCTCTATTAATTCACCTACGTCACATCATTATTTTATTAAATGTATTTATTTAGTTTTTTTCTCGATACCAATATGATTGTGCATGGGCATAAGACGGGACAGTTGGTGTTACTATTGATATAGCATTGAGTAAATCATCTGAATGATTGGTTGTGATTCAGCTCTAAATTGTATTTTTAAAATAGGTTGGGGTAGTCGGCTGTTTCTATATAAAGGTTAAAGTTTCCTATTATTTATTTGCACATTTCAAAGAAACCAATTTTCTGAGTCTTTTAAAAGTTAAGCTTTAAAGGATTAAGAGATCTCTATGGGTCGAATCGGGAAGTTGATCATGTACCAAGACATCAGTTCATGTGGAGACATGTTTCATGATCTTCTTAGATACAGACCCCATGATATCGCTTCCATTTCTCCTGATAAGGTTCATGGTTGCGATATCGTTGATGGTCAACCAGGAGTTGTTGGCTCCGTCTTCTGCTGGAACTATACCATCGGTACGTAACCCTCATTTGTTGTTCAACCATAGTTTCAAGTTATTTCAAATAAATTAAACTATTATATAACAAACAATAATCTTTATATAATTTCTTTCATTCACATGGAGAAAAGATGGAAAAAAGCAAACTACAAAGACGAAAATCGAAGAAATTGACGAGACAAATCACAAAATGGTGTTCAACACAATTGAAGGAGATCTTCTAGGAGACTTATACAAGTCCTTTAAGATCATGTTTCATGTTGAACCACATGGAGATGGCAGACAGTTGGCTACTTGGACCTTTGAGTTTGAGAAGCTGAACACAAGTGTGCCCTATCCAACTAACTTCATGGACTATTTATTGGCTGTTACTAGAGACATGGATGCCCATAACACTAATCAATAGATGATATGCAAGTTCAGGTTCGAAACAAGAGGGGGATTCACTGTCAGCATTTAGTTGATTTAAATAAGAAATGAATAAAACAACTTGAAGAATAAAGCAGTGGTAGCTAGATATGGCTACTTAACTGGAACATGTATGCTTGTTTCTTCCCATGATTCGTAAGTGTATGTTTCAAGTTACCTAGGGTTTATATTGTTTGTATTTGGATGTCCTCTAAGGTCCAGGAGTGATTGTAATATGATTGTAGTAAGTTTGTGAAACTTTTTTTTTATTATCCTGGATATCCAACTCGTTATGCAAGCTAACTAATTCCAGGGGGACCACCTGCTTTGCTTTGCAGATAGCCCGAAGTCATTGCATTTGAACTTCTGTAGCCACAAGGGGATTTTTATTTCTCCTTGGATTTGAACATGAGACCTCCACGTACTTTTGATCTTTGGAGCCAAGCTCAAACCAATCAGGCACCACCCTTATGGTTAAGTTTGTGAAACTTTCATCACCCATGACCCTTGTTTAATCTTTTGAAGCTCCTCTTACATTTAAAATTTTTGAATTTATTGCAAAGGATAACACAGACACATATATACAAAGAGAGCCGGTGATAAGCCGTATTATTGATAAAATTAGAAAGGAACTGAGGTGGACTATAGTTTTACGTTCGTAAATGAGAAGACTCTAAACAATGTAAAATTAATCCCCAAATTTTTAGGGGTTCTGTTCAAAATCATATACTAATAACATGTTAAAAGACGGCCCTACCAGTATATACGGTAATTTCATTGAAGAGGGATCGTCGAAGGGGAAAGACATTTTTCCATGTTTAATAGAGGGAGAGAGTCCCAAAGAAACCTTTAATTTTCATTTCGATTTTAAAATAAAACTTGATGATTTGTTGTACATCATAAAATTTTACTCGACCATCATGTTATTGATCAAAATGGGATATAAAATAGAAAATTTAGAACTTTTTTCTATTGATCGAGGAAAAAAAATCGTTCAACAAACCTTCTTATATTTTGATGCATTTTGTTCAAAAATAAATTATAATTTCAACTATATAATGTTTTTTGTAAAAAAATTAAAATTTATTTCTTATAATCAAATGATGTTAACGTATGAAAGTTTTATAAGTCCGACTTCATGCATGGGCCACCGCCCGTTACATTTTGGGACGAACGTTAGGATCAAGTACCATCCATGAAAATATATGAATAAGTTGGGGGTGTTGGTGTAATTTTTCTCAATAATGGCAATAACTGAAGTGGAAAGAAAACATGGGGGCAATTGCTGTAGTTTACTCAAAAATATTAATTCACGTTGAATTTTATTTTATTTTCTTTCAGAAAAAGTGGTGTTATTAATTAGTGATTATTAATGGGTATTAATAACACGCATGGCTAAACTTGAAAACGAACTTATAGATCGATGTGTTGAATATAAATAATAATAATAATAATAATAATAATAATAATAATAATAATAATAATAATAATAATAATAATAATAAAAATAAAATAAACATTTAAATTGATGTCAATAATCAAATATCAAATATTTATTAAAAAATAAATTATTAACCTAGATATCAAACCCGCTATGCGAGCCGACTAATGACCACTTGTTTTGTAGATAGCTCAGAGTCACCGTATTTGAATCTTCGTGACCACAAGGAGATTTTTATTCCTAATTGGATTTGAAAGATGTTATAGAATATCAAACTTGTTGATTGAAGATGTTGTTGTTCATATTGAAGACTTGTGGAAATTGGGAGGGGGTTGGGTTCAGTGGGTTATGTCTATATAAGGCCAAAGTTACGTGTGTAATTGAACATTCAAATTAAGCTGTTTTAGAATCTGTTAAAAACCTCTGATGGCTCTAATCGGAAAGTTGATGATGCAGATAGAGATCAGTTCACATGGAGATATATTCCATGATCTTCTTAGGCACAGACCAAATGATCTTGCTTCCATTACCCCAGCTAAGGTTCATGGGTGTGATATCCTTGATGGTCAACTAGGAGCTGTTGGGTCCGTCATCTCTTGGAACTATACCCATGGTATGTAACTTAACCCTTCTTATTGTTGTTCCATTTGCATATATAGCTTCTTCAGCTCTCCATAACTGTAGGATTCAAGTTTATGAACAAGAACCTTTTTTCTTTCAATTTGCATGGAAATTCAAAAAGATGGTAAAAAGAACACTCTTAAGGAGATAATTGAAGAAGTTGACGAGACAAACCACAAGATAGTGATGAAGGTTATTGAAGGAGATCTTGTGGAAGACTTGTACAAGTCCTTCACCAACATATTTCATGTCGAACCCCATGCAGATGGTCGACAGTTGGCTACTTGGACGTTTGAGTTTGAGAAGTTGAATGCAAGTGTTCCTTATCCAACTGTTTTCATGGACTACATAATGGAACTTATCATGGAAATTGATGCCCATCACACTAGTATTTAGATGCATATACAGCTTCACTGTCTGCATCTACCCCATTAAACAAATAAAGCAACCTCAAGAATAAACCAGTCATAGTTATGCCTACTTGATTGGGAACATGTATGCTTGCTTCCTCCCATGAATATATAAATCAATTTTAAACGATCTTCTAATTTTATGCTTTGCACATTATGCTATGATATCAAAATAAGCATGGAACAAAACAAGAGGATGCATCGTACTTTAGTTTCGTTTTACTAAATTCTCCGTACTAAGAACCGTAATCTTATATCTCTACAATTTCACTATATATAAATCTACATGACAACCAAAACTTTTATAGATGCAGATCCAGCCACTTGAATTAGACCATTGTAGTTCAATCAGGTCTTGAAAATGCTTAAACGGTGATTCTCAATAGGAGTTATCTCTATTTGCACCTCAATTTCACCACTTTCCACGTCGGTCAATCGAAGAACCATATCTTGTGTGATTGCCTTGTTATTCCAAATGATATGGCTCTCCTCTACAAGGCGGTTATGCTCGTTGGGTTGAACAGTCTCAAGTTTAGTACCAACCGGGAGATGGTGCAAGTTCGAGCCCATTTGCAGGCACTCAAAGTATGGATTTACATCAACACTTGTTACCCCCATGTTATCGTCTTCGCTAAATGTGTCTTTATCGTACACCGTCTGAAAGACAACACACATAGGCGTTACTTATTCCCATAATTATAGATGTAGAAGCCAAATTGCAGCAATACTTACAAGTTTAATTGGAACCTTGGGGTCCTTGATGGTAAGCGTCAGATCATCTTCCCACACAGGATTGCAGTTGTCCCTCACTATTTTAGTCTTTGTTTTCTGCGTTTAAATGCAAATTAATTTGAAATGTGTTAAATTATAGACATATAAACATCATAATTTTTACAGAAATAGATTAAAGATGGACCTGATGATCCAAGGTTGCGACCACGTACGGATCACTGGTGCCACGGGTTCTATCACGTATAGCCAGATTTGTCCCTCTCTTCACTCTTAGCCTCAAAATGCCCATCACCCCTTCCATTCGATCTCTGTAATTTTAGTCTTAATACCTTAAATACGTTGAACAAAAGTGAGAAAAGGTTAGTTAATTCTGGTTTTTTGTTTATTGATAAATGAAAATAGAAAGGTTCACATAAAATGGTTGATAGATAAATAAGGAGACCATGTCAAACCCCTTCCTCCATCCATAGTATATGTGAGGTTGAGACACCATTTTTGATTTCACCAGAAAATATTTAACAATATATATATATATATATATATATATATATAGAGAGAGAGAGAGAGAGAGGGGGGGTTATTATAGAACCTCTTACATTTGTACAATCAATACAACTCAATCTCAACTGTCCATTTAATTTGATGAATATGTAATTTATAGAAGTTTTGATTATTTCCTATTATAAAGTATTAATCATAATTAATGAACCGTATTCATATTCCATAAATATTTAAATCATAATAAATGAACTCTCGTCATTTTCATAAATATTTTAATTTATTGGGTTGCATTGGTTGTACAAATGCAATAGGTTGTATTTGAAACAAACTATATATATATATATATATATATATATATATATAGAGAGAGAGAGAGAGAGAGAGAGAGGAGGGGGTGAGTTATTATGGTATCCTTTATATTTGTACAACCAATAAACTCAATCTCAACCTTTTATTTAGTTTGATGAATATGTAATTTTATAAAAGTTTAGATTGTTTTCTAATATAAAGTATTGATCATAATTGATGAACCCTAGTGATCTTCTATGAATATTCAAATCATAATAAATGAACTATCATCATTTTCATAAATATCTCAATTGATTGAGTTGCGTTGGTTATACAAATGTGATGATTGCATTTGAAACATCCTATGTATATGTGTGTGTGTGTGTTGTTTTTACGATTTTTATTAAGACTTCTAGATATACATAAGATAATGTCGTTTTCAGGTTCTTATTCAGAATCAATACAAAGGAAATACATAAGTTGATTTTAAAAAGTTAATATATACTAAAAACATTAGTTAAAATTATAATTTTAAACCATGTAGAATTCATGTGAGACGCAAATCATGTCAAAAGTACAAGGGTGATGTCTGATTAGTTTGAGTTTGCCTCCAAAGGTCAAAAGTACATGGAGGTCTCAGGTTCAAATCCAATGAGGAATAAAACTCCCCTTGTGGTCATAGAGGTTTAAATGCGGTGACTCCAGTCTATCTGCAAAATAGTTGGTTGCGTTAGGATCAGTTGGTTGCGTTAGGATTAGTCGGCTCGCATAACGGGTTGAATATCCAGGTTCATAAAAAAATCATGTCAAAACTGTGGCCCATTGGGCTACGAATATGGGCTTTCAGTAACTGACAGTCTGACACACTAACAATGGAGCAATCCATTTTGGCCCATTAAATTATATGTAGAAGAAGATGGGCTTTTGTCTTCCATAATCTGTTTGACAATATATAAATAATTTAATAATTAAAATATAAGGTAAAATGGGCGAAATAACAAGTTACTTTTATAAATTTCCTTATTATAGCATTCTGCTTTCAGTTTTTCTTATTACAACAATATACTTTCAAAATATTTTTTATTAGACATCATACTTTCAAAAATTTATCCGTTATAGCATTGGGTAACCTGTAATCTTTCGAACAGGTTTTTCCTTGTTGACGTGTCAAATTTAAAATGACATGGAAGCCACATAAGATAACTTGTTATACATGGGATAGCTTACATGTCATTTAAAAGAAAATCCTAACTTAAAACAATTTTTTAAAAAGGAAAATAAAATTTAATTTATAATATTAGGATTGTTATATTTTTGTTTTGATAAATAAATATATTTAATAATAATTAAAAAATAATTAATACAAGGGAACTTCACCAAAATAGTCAAAATACACTTCATATTTTAACAAAATGGTTATTTTTCCAGGTTTTACCAAAATGACCAATAGGATCCTCCCGGGAAGGCATGTTTGATCATGGGAGGCGATCCACACCTTCTTTGACCAAAAAAGTACAAAATATAATTTTAAATTAATTTGTGGTCCCACATGTATCTGATTTAGGTGACAAAACATTGTTTGGTATGAGAAGTGGGATCGCCCCCACCTAACCTTGGATCTTCTCCCGGGGGCGATCCAACCATCAGGCTTGAATGCTATTTCGTCTTTTAGTGTATAAACCGATTTGATAATTAAGGGTGTTTTTAATAAACAGTGGACAATTTTGACTGGTTTTTTAATTGTTTTAAAACCAAATGCCATGGTTTTACTCTATAAAATCAAACAATTCTACTCTCACAACTCGTAACCCGTAAACACAATCTACCATGACTACCTTTAACACAATATGAAATTACGTGAAGATTTATAATTTTTACTACTATTTTTTAAATACATAAATTAACCAATAAATATTTTTATATTTCTTATAAAAATTATATTTTTTATAATCACTGAATGTTAATATTTTATAATAATTGTTGATACGAACAAAATTATTTGTATCTTATATGGGGGACAAAAATCTGATATTATATCTGAAAAATGTCATTTTTTTATAACCACGTAATTTGACCGATATTTCGTCATTTAATGGCCTACGATTTGACGACTTTTTGACTATCTATTTTTCTTATTACGTTGTGAATGCTTTAAGAGCTCATTGGGGTTTTTAAGTCCTCGAGGTGGGTAACAGTTTGGCTCGACACGACTATGCCCGGTGGTCCGTTACTTCATTTTGGTTTTGAGTCTGGCTCACTATTAAAGAATGGTTTTCTTCTACAATGGTTTTTATAAGAAACTATAGTCTTAGGGATGCTCATAACTCGATCAACCCGATTAATCAAACAACTTAACGTAAAATAATAAAATTTGAAACAACCCGATGTGTAGTCGAGTTATAAATTTTCAAACCGTAGGTATTTGATTGAAATTGGGTTACGATCATTTTGAACTCAACCAAACCCGATGTAATCATTATCCTTTTATTTATTGAATTTAATTTGATTGTTAAGTCCATTTTGATATGTATATTAAATAATTACACAATCATGTACCATCTTCATATACATATATTGTCATTCTCTTCTTCATCTCTATATAACTCATTGTATATATGTTTAGTAAATATAAACATATATTTGCAAATTAAGAAAAATAGTTGAATGTGATATATCTAAGATTTAAGAAGTTTGGATAAGCTGTATCAAATGATTGGCGATGTAAAAGGAATTATAAGTAGAAAAACAACATATTCAAGATTATGAGAATATTATTGACCAATCTGTATGGTTCAGGTTAGGTTAGGTTGAACTTTGGCTTCGATGGGGATGGATTGAGATTTTTCAAACCGCAAACATTAGGTTTGGTTGTTCAATGTTTCCAATCCAATTAAAAACCCTACTATAGTCGCCCGTAGAGGCGTGCATCGAGCGGATTCAGGTGGGCAAACCAAAAATCGGATCGAATTTCGGATATAGAAAACCAAGACCAAATTTTAGGTTTAAGATTTCGGATTGCTTCAGCTTCAGATTGGTCGGGTTTCGGGTTGAGTTATAATTGATGAAATTGACAGTAAGTTCCGAAATTAGAAAACACCGGTTAGAAAATAAGATTTTCAAATAGATAATTAGTTAAATAAATATATTTATATAATATTTAAAATATATATGTATATACGTTTCGGGTTTTTGAAGGATTCGGTGGCCAAAGATCAAACCCAAATATCCCCCAGAAGTTGGGTTTTGGATTTTCGGATTTTGAGGTTCTTGGGTTTTGCATAAACACCTTATTTTCAGTTCGAGTTAGAATTTTTGGATTTTACACCACCCCTAGTTGCCCTTGCCGGGTTAAGAAATAAATATTTAAGTTAATCCAGGATTTGGTACCGAAACTTCATTTATTACAGATTAGGACTTGTTGTATGTCGTTTCGTAAAGAATTAGTCCCTCCCTCTAAACGGCCATCCAGTAACTCCGTTAACCTTGAGGGCATTTTCGTCCTTTTTCTTTCTTTTGTCTTTATTCGAGAGACCAATTTCTTAAAAACCAAACAAACTAGAAAGATCAAATCCGTAATTAAGTCTAAAAAATAAAATAAAAATTAATTTTTTTACACTTCAATTTTATTACATTAATTATTCATTATACTTTAATTCCAGTTTTAAATATATAATATTTTTTTCAAAAAATATATATTACTTACGGATATGATTAATTGGACGTTTATAACAATATTTTTAAATTAAAATAACATGAACCCCTTTTTTATTCGAAAAACGAAATATCAGAAAAATCAAGCAAATAAATTATATTAAAAAGAAAATCATATTTTTCTCATTAATTTGATATTTACGTTAATATTTTTTTTTCATATGTACATATATAAACTTAAGGTAGAAGTTCTCAAATATCTCAAAAAATTTACATTTATATTGTTAAATTTAAATTACAATTGAAAACAAAATTTATTAATTCAAATATAAAAATCATGAAAAGATGAATTTTATGTATATGTATACACACACATATATATATATATATATATATATATATTTGTTTATATTTCGTTTTCGAATAAAAATACCTTCAAGGTTAACAGAGTAATTGGATGCCATTAAAGGGAATGATTAATTCGTTATAAAACGGCATATAACAAGTATTAATATATAATAAATAAAGTTCAGAGACCATTTTCACAAAAATCATCAAATCATAAGAACCAAATCTAAAATTAATTTTAAATATTTTTGTTAGATTATAAATTATATGAGAATGTAATTATTATTTTATATAATTATAATACAAATTTGTTATGATGGGAAAAAAGCATTGAAAAATATAGAGTGTGACCGCATAATGGGGGAATATTTCATAAAATCTTTGTAATTATCATAAAGTATTTAATAGTTGTGCCGTACAATTCGTAAGAGCCAGCTTTTTTCAGATAAATAAAAAAGATACTTTAATCATTCATGTGGTTAATATTTGTAGTTTTCAGTGTAAAATATCATATAATTACTTATATGGGTATGCAAAAGATATACAGTAGTTTTGTAACTTTTAATAATAGACTTCAAACGAGTTTATATATTAATCACAAACATCTATATATGAATATGCTAAATTGCTCGTATGTGAATCAGTTAAAATACTTCATTTGCAAATTATACGGGTTCAAATATGAATTTGTTTGCCCCCTATTTGTAGGAATTACCCTTTTATTTTTCATATAGCCATAATTTTTGACTGGGCAAAACTGTAAAATTTTGAACAATTAAAGCCAAAATTCTTAACCAATCAAATTTGATATTGATCGTATGAAAGATTATGTTCATTTTTACTTCTCAAATATTAACCATTTCTTAAAATAACCTTTGGATGAGGGTATATCTATATTATATTATAAAGCATTTGACAAAAACTCTTAAAATTTATTTCTTATGCATGAAGTACTGTTTATCAATACATATTACTTAAAATTCAAGATTACAAATAATTTTACATAAGAACAACTTAATAAAGTTCCATTTTTAAATTCGTATAACTAAATACAGATAAACATAATCAAATACACGATAAACATTTATTTTAAATATAAAAAATTTAAAATATAATTAAGATCATCATTGAGTTCTAACATAATGTTTAATCACTATTTTTATAACAAATTATACTATTAAATCAAAAATAAAGTATTTTGTTATTAAATCTAAATTAAATTATAATAAAAAAATGAATTAAAGAAGTTACATAAAAAAAAGAAAACTATTAAATAGTTAAGTTAATACATGAAAACATAAACCATATAAAATCATATTATATCAACAGAATAAAAAATAACAACCAAACATTAAAATCAATATTTATCTCATTATTTTGCACGAATATTCTTATAGTTATATTAAAAGTATAAGGTATTTTTCAGAAGTCAGAATTTAAGGAATATTATATTAGAATTTATAAAAATAGTCAATAAATTATAAATTATTTTTAGACTTGATAATATTTCGATTTCCGAGCTGTGTGATTCTTATTCTGTCAACGGTTATTTCTTTAAATAATTTTCTTATCAAAAACAGTTATTAAACTTTAAAATAGTTTTATAAATGTAAAAAAAAATTACTAATTGTTAAATATTTTTGGGTGATTTCTAGAAGGTAATACATGTATTCTCGTCTTAAAATAATCCTACATATTTTGTTTTTATTTAAATTAAAATAAGTGTCATTCTCAAAATTAAAATACATGCTTTTTAATTTTAATTTTACTTTTAATTGTGAGATAGGAAAATTAATTTCTTCATATATTATTAAGGGTAAAAATGTAATTTAATTAAGTAAAAATGTAATAATTATACATGTTTAAAATTATGTCTTTTCATTATTGACATCTATTTTAAAACGGATGAAATGTTATATATTTAAATAACGGGTTTTTAGAGGAAACGATGTTTGTAGCGTAAATTTTATAGGCAAGCGATTCAATACTTAAAAATGGGTCGTAGCGTAATCATACCGGCACGACTCTTGCTAAGATAAAAAAAGAGCACGAAACATTAGAAGACGTGTTATTTTAATGAGATGAAACTTGTTTATTGAATAGAAGCAATATTAATAAGGTTGAAACTGTGAGGGTGACGGATCCAAATTTTCATATTATACTCTAACCAATATTGATTCCAAATGTTTAATTTTTTCCTTTTAACGAAAAATAGTAGAATTAATAATTATTTACCATACAACTGATAATTAGGCATATTTAGTCTTTAGACATCAAATAAGTAACAATTAGGTACAAAAACATTTAGCAGTTAGAACACAGTTGACGCATAATATTATTTTTGTTTGGTAAAGTAGGTGAATATTTGGTGATTGGAAAAATAATGGATGTTATTTTGCTGTCATTCATAAATAAATTTGTAGGTTTGTGATACAACGTTCGTTGCCCTGATTTTGACCTTCGAAACATTGCCAACCTCCACTTCCCTAATCACACTCACAGCCCTCCATAGAAGGGGTGTGATTAGAAAACAAACGATCGTGTGAGAATATAACTTAATATGAGAAGTGTCAAAAGGTATTTTCTTTTAATCTCAAACCAATCCATGAATTGCGTTTTAGAAAAGAATTGATCTGGTGCATTTTATTAGTGTTGATTTACTGGAACTGTTTAATTCAAATTGATCCAAGCTGAAGATCTCTTCTTACCTTTCTCACCAAGATTTTCACTTTCACTAGAACCCAACATATGATTAGAATTCACCTCATTTAATTATTTTAGAGATGCTCTCAATAGATTTGGGAATGACGTACTTTTTTTGGGTAACTGTAGGTTTTTAGACCAGCTTATGTGCATCGAATAATTCTCAAGACGACCATAAATTGTTTGAAGTCATTGTAGGTGAACTTTCATAGTCATCAGGTTTTTAGCAGCATCTAGATTCGAATCTGAGTACATACTCCCAATACTTAACCAGTATGACACAGGTAATTAGAAAGTAGTATTTTGCATTTAATAATATGTTGCGGTTGGTAAGAATATGTTGGCATGTTCACATTCTCATCAAACTTTGGATAAAACCAAAGCCAACTTAAAATGGGTCAAGATGCACACATTAATTAATTGGTGACATGTTCAATATTATAAAACAAAATATTTTTATTTTAAACACATAAAAAACAAAACAATCATTTTATAGTATGATCGGTTTGAATGATACTAAAAAAATTATATTATATATATATATATATAT